GTATTATATCTAATAATTGTAATTTTATTTATTATTAACTCAAGTAAAATCAAATTTGTATTATGTTTATATTACTCACCACACATTCTAGATACAAGGTGCCAACTACGCACATAAATACAAGGATTTATATAGAGATAAATACTTATTAGCTGTAACTTGGAATTAGTGATAATAAACCTGATGAGGATAGACACTCTTCCGATGCTATATAAACAGTCTCTGTGCCAATAAACTAAACAAGCCTCACAAAAAAAACAAAAAAAATGAGGAAACTGAAATTATCTTTGATAGCTGATGAGAGATCCAGAAAAACAACATTCATAAAGAGAAAGAAAGGGATGATAAAGAAACTCCACGAGTTGACAACTCTTTGTGGTGTCCAAGCTTGTGGTGTAATCTACAGTCCATACCTACCGGCACCAGAGGTTTGGCCGTCAAAAGAAGGCGTAGAAGAGGTGGTCACAAAGTTCATGGAGATGCCGATGGCAGCGAAGACCAAAAAGATGATGAATCAAGATACTTATTTGCGGGAGCAGATTACCAAAACAAAAGAGCAAGTAGAAAAACTTACTTCTGAGAATCGGGATTTAGAGGTTAAACAGTTTATGTTTGATTGTCTTGAAGGAAAGATGTTGGAGTATCGTTATGGTGCAAAGGACCTTCATGATTTGCATTGTTATATTAATTATTATATTGAGCAGCTTACTCGAAGGATGAAAATTCTTGAAGAAAATGGTGAGTCTTCTTCTTTTCCTCCTCTTTCTGTTGGAGCTGCAGATCTAGATCCACTAGCTATTGCAGATTTTCCTGTTAATGTGAATGCATCTGCGATAAGTGTGGCTAGTGAGTTTTTTGATCATATTCAATACCAGAATATGAATATGAATCAAAATATGCAGGAACCGGTTCAAAATCTACAGGAACCAGTTCAGTATCTGCAGGAACCAGTTCAGTATCTGCAGGAACCAGTTCAGTATCTGCAGGAACCAGTTCAGTATTTGCAGGAACCAGTTCAATATCTGCAGGAACCAGTTCAGTATCTGCAGGAACCAGTTCAGTATCTCCAGGAACCAGTTCAATATCCGCATGAACCATTTCAATACATGCAGGAACCATTTCAATATCAGGCTTTTCCTGATCGTAATGGTCATATTCAAGAAGATGTTTACAATAACATGACTTGGAATCCTACTATGAATTTGGATTTGAGTCATAACTTGAATTTGAATTTAGATATGAATTTAAGTCAATATCTGAATCAAGAAAATTCATTCAAGGATATGATGGTGGAACAAAATGTGGGATATGCTGGAGGATATGCTAAAATTCCTTTCATAGATGGAAACCACTCTAACTACCGTCAACAACCAACAGTTGATCTTGATATCACCAATCACATGCCTTTCATCACATCATCTACCACCTCTACTCTCGGTGCTTATGCTTCTTACAATAACAATTATATGTAATCAATGAAGCATATTTTCTAGTGAAGTTTTCATTTATCTGAATTTGTGTATTTTATGTTTTCATTTCGAAATAAAAATATTGAATGTTTCTTTTGTGTATGTTTTCAATTAATTGGTAATTTACCTTAAAGCATTTATATTATTTTGACTATTAAAACTATATATGTGCATCATAGCGCATCAATTTTAATTTTATTTGAAGAAGTTTAGTTATTTGAAATAAAAATTTATTGTTTTAAAAAAAATTAAACAAAAATATATATAACTGTAATTGTTTTTGCACAAAGAATCTTCCTCTTATTATCATATTTTTCAAAAACAAACAGAAATCATATTGCTATTTTTGATAATATATATTTGACGTAACACACTAGTTTCAAGAAGTATAGTAGTGCATGTAGAGAGGTCTAAAAATAATTGATTTGGTCGTTTATGTCACCAAAATGCACTTATATTTTTGGATCAAGAAAACCTTGTTAAGCGTGTTAAATATAGATGTTGGAGCAACAACTGTTCATAGATATCATAGTGTAGTTTTCTTAACTTGCTAATAACCGTAATTTAAATTGTATAGATTTGTTAATTTGTTAATGACCAATAACCAAAACGAACAACCAAATTCTTGTTTTGGTTTGTTTAGCTATTTTGGTTTGGTTATTTATTTTAGTTGTTTATTTGTATTTCCATTCTCTATGGCACATGCAGAAATGAGCCGAGCTCATCTTTAAGTTAACCCGCTTCAATTAACATGAGGAGGATGATAGATGTAAGCTCTCAAAACTTTGCAACAACTATAATTGTCCAAACATAAGCACCTAAAAAGGTAACCTTAATAGGAAAAACATAAAAAGCCAACTTTCTAATAGAAAAAAACATTAAAGTTTTCATGAACCCCTCCACACTATGCAAATACATGAAGCAATACAAGCTTATGTAGAAGGCAATGATCCCCAAGAGTTTGCAGTCAAGATAATTACCATGAAGTGTCTCATCTTGAGCACCTCATGTTCATGAGGGAACCCCATGCCATCTAAAATACTTACAATGTAAATGTTTATCTTTGAACAAAGATGGCGTATAATAAATTTAATACTAATGAAGACTAGGAACTTACTCTGTTTTTCGTTGTTATGAGAAAATGTAACATTGAGAATCAAAGTAAAAAACTTTCTTTTAACACAAAATCCAAGTACATATATACATATTTGATATAAAAAAAAACCCTCATAAGAAACTAATTAAAAAGTCAACAACATCAGTAATGAATCATGTGACACCAAAGAGAAACCATATATAATACAATATCATCATTAACAATATTAACAAAACCTAAATTAAGTTGAAGGATACGTATGAGTCTGACTTTCATGGCTTTCTTCTTGAGAAACGATAGTAATTGTATATCAAAATCAAGCACATTACTGAAAATCAACGAAACCATATGAACAAATATATGATAAAGAAAATATTACATCGATGTGATTTTTTTTTAATTACATTTAACAGACACACTAGTCTTGCCCTTTGGCTTAACTAATGCTCCTGCGACTTTCCAAAATTTGATGAACTCGGTTTTCAAACCCTTCTTGAGGAAATTTTTGTTAATCTTATTTGATGATATCCTCATTTACAGCAAATCTTTGGAGGAACATGCTCAACATTTGCAACCGGTTTTTACAATCATGAAATCTGAGAGTTTGTATGCCAAAATGAGTAAATGTGCTTTTGCAATGGAGAAGGTCGAATACTTGGGACATTTTATCAGTCCAAAGAGAGTCTCTACTGATCCAGCTAAGATCCAAGCTGTTGCAGAGTGGCCGCAGCCAAATAATCTTAAGCAATTGAGGGGTTTCTTAGGATTGGCTGGTTATAGGAGATTTGTGTAGAATTTTGGTGTGATTGCAAGTCTTCTCCATGCTCTACCTAAGATTGATGATTTTGTGTGGAGTGACGCAGCTCAATCTGCTTTTAATCAATTGAAGGTTGCTCTCTGTCAGACACCAGTTTTGGTTTTGCCACAATTTTACAAGACTTTTGTGGTGGAAATAGATGCGTGTGGTCAACGCATAGGTGCGGTGTTGATGCAGGAAGGTCACCCTCTTTCTTATATCAGTTGGCAACTAAAAGGCAGGCAACTTTATCTCTCTATCTATGAAAAGGAACTATAGGCTGTGATTTTTGCGGTTCAGAAGTGGCGCCATTACTTATTTCCGGCTCATTTTATAATCAAGACGGACCAGCAAAGCTTAAAATACCTTTTAGAGCAGCGGCTTACTACTCCTATTCAATAGCAATGGTTACCTAAGTTGCTTGAATTCGACTATGAAATCCAATACAAGCAAGGGAAAGAGAATTTAGTGGATGATGTGTTATCTTATAATTTTGAATAGATTTATATTCATTCTAAATATTTACGTATTATTATTTATTTTCATATTGGATATTAAAAAAATTGGGAAGATTTCTAAGTCTAAATAGAAAAGGTTGAATTATGGAAATATCTTATTATTTTAAATGGATTTCTGAATAGTAATAATTTTTTGTGTTATTGGTTCTAAAGATTTACATAAGTACTCATTGTCACATTGAATTTTAATGGATTTTTAAACATTAATTAGTATCCACATGTTGGATTACAAAAACATTATGAATTAAAATATCCTCACAAAAAATACCCACTTAAGTTTTTTTTTTCTAAAGACCTCTTTCAAATTACCCCTTAAAATCATTTAATGTTTTAATTTATTTATGACCATTTTTTTTTCAAAATAATATTTTTATAAAATTTTAGATTAGGAAAATTTCTTTAAGACAATGATATTTCATTCAAGATTTCTCACCACAATATAAAGTAACTTCAACAAAATATATATATATATATATATATATATATATATATATATATATATATATTATGTGTATGGACAAACTATATAAAATTTTATGTTTCCATATATATAGCATTTTTAAAAAATGTTATGCAGAAATATTTGTAAAGTTAAATATTTTTCCACGTAAGATATGTGTAGAGGTAATTATTAGTAGTGAATTTAATTTCAAGCTTATATTTTCCCACATAAGATATGTGTAGAGGTTATTATTTGTATTAAAGCACCAAATAAAGAAATATGGACATCTGTAAATAAATAAATAAAAAAATATTAAAATTAGCACTATTAAAGGCATGTTTTCTAAATATTATACAAGTGTCAATTCTTAACTAGCCTCCTTGATTGCAAACTAGAAAAAAAAAAAAGTAAACAAAATAAAAGTAAATATAAAGTTATCAAAAAGGAATGGAAAAATATTAAAAAGAAAAAAAAAATAACCCATAATTGAATAGCAAATCTACTCTTGTAGATATAAATATTTTCTTCCATTCAGTTAATGCCAATTTTGATATTTCTTACAAGGTAAGATATAGATTTTCATATGTTTGAATTGTGATAATTTTATCCCTATTTCAACCAATCAAATTATATATATAAGGAGGACTAGTCTCCTCAAAAATTATAATCAAACCAAAAACCAAAACAAAGAGAAAAAAAAAAAACACCATGACGAGAAAGAAAGTGAAAATGGCTTTCATAGAAAATGAGACCTCAAGAAAATCAACATTCAAGAAAAGGAAGAAAGGTTTTCTCAAGAAAGCTGATGAGTTGGCAACTCTATGTGACGTTCCCATCTGCGTCGTCGTTAACAGTCCCTACGACGCGGCCCCTGAGGTGTGGCCATCGAGAGAGACGGCTAACAAGGTTGTGGCTCTATGGAGTAAGATGTCGGTGATGGACAAGACCAAGAAGATGGTGAACCAAGAGACTTATCTCCAACAAAGGATCGCCAAAGCAACCGAGTCTTGGAGGAAGGCGAGGAAAGAGAACAAAGAGTTGGAGATGAAGAACATCATGTTTGATTGTCTTAGTGCCAAAACTTCTGTTCCTTGTATCCCAAAATGCGATCTTCGAGATTTTGGTTCTGTTATTGAACAACATCTCAAAGATGTTAACCTTAGGATGGAGATTCTTAAGAGGAACGAGGTTGAAGGATCTTCTTCCTCCCTTGTTCTTGCTGCTGATGTTGCTACAACATCTACTGTCATACCTATGCTTGAGATGGGTTCTTCATCGGTTGGATTTCACGAAACAATTCGCGATAAAATCGAGAATACTTTGAATGTGAAGAAGACTGATAAGGATTTGGATCTGAATAAGAAGTGGTGAACCAGTCTTTGAATCGTATCTTAAGTTTAAGCTATTTAAACCATCAATAAAACTATATATTTGAGTTCTGTTTTTTTAATTATTATTACATGTTTGGGTTGGTTTTGACTTCTTGTTGTCATTTCTAATAAATAAAATTTCATTTTCTCTAGTTAATGAATGTTTTGTCTTGATATTATTTTGCTCCTTATCGAAACTTATATAGTTGATTCATTCACAACTAAAGAGATCTCGCAATAGCATGATAATGAATCAACATAAATTTACGAATTTGGACTCGTAAACTTGTTACATCAAATCAGGTCTTCAAACATGTTTCTATAGTATTGGACTTATTGGCACCAAAACCAAACCATTTATATTCTCAAAATTTGTTATTTACATTGTCATTCATTAGATCAATCACTTTCTGAGACAATTTTCTGAATCGCAAAACTTCTTTTTTTTTTTTTTTCATCATGAATCTCAAACTTTGGTTAAGGTTTTTTCAATGTTTTTTAATTTATTTAAGGAAATATAATCTTCAAAAATATATCATAATTTTAAAAATCTGTCAATGTATTCGTTTGGAACATTATTTTTTCGAATCAGAACTAATGAAAGTCAAATTCAACACCAAGTTAAAATTTTACTAGCACATAAACAAATTTGGCTAAGTTAACGTAAAAAGGAACTAATCTCGCCAAAAAAGATATTGCAAATTCGCTTGGCAACTTAAAAACTAAAAAGTAAAGATTGACCAAAACACGTAAATAAAGATTTTTAAATTTTTTTACCCAACTAATTTTTATAGTAAAAATCATTAAATAATTTGGGATTTTAAAAATCTAGATTTTCCTAGTTACTATAAAAATTATTTTACTTTTGAATTATAACAACAGGCTGTAGTATATTCGCAAAATGTGCACACCCAGCACATATATATGTATGCATATCAATCATAAAAGGATAAACCTATTTAGATAACAATATCGAATAACTAAATATTATTAGCACTAAATTTTATATCCTCTTAACTATTAAAAGAGAATTACACATTTAGCGTTCCCAATAATTGACCAAAAACTTTCAAAATTACCCTTCAATCTTTGTCAAGGGAAAATAGTAATTCAAATTAGAGAGGGTAAATTGTGGAATTTCAGAGAAAAAATCGATTACCGACCCGTTAACTCGACGACCCGCGCCCATACCAGATTAATTAAAGGAGCAAAATAACCAAGGTTCGATCTATTGTGAAAAGAAGTAAAAGCCAGGTTTTTAAATGGGCTTTACATATTATGTCTATTCCTTTTGGGCTTTGTTACATATATCCCATGAAATTGTTTATTCAATATATGAAGAGAAGAAACGAGTGAGCTGGTTGTCCGGTTTGAAGATTCACTAAGTATTGACCCGACCCGGAAGCTACGCCGGAGACAACCGAAGTTTTAACGAATGGGATGGGTTTACGGCGAACAGCGAGAAAATGGAGACGGCGAGTGTCTAGAGCCAAAGCTTGCGTTAGAGAAGGAAACAAAGATTTGCGTAACAAAGGAAGGATTAAGTACAGAGGAAGAGAGAGAGAGATGAAAGTGCAGAGGAAGATAAGAGAAAACATTGAGAAGGGTTTGTGTTGTTATTTTTCTGTCTATTAAAAGAAAAGCAAAAAGAAAATTATTATAAACAAAAAGATGAAGAAGACAAAGACGAAGGTGTAACAATACGAACCTAAGATTTGCAGTTCAATTGGTAACAACTTCAACGGTGGGAAAGTTGTTAAAGGGTGAGGTCTTGTGTTCGAGGAACGCGAAGCGCACCAATAACCTACCTGGTGGACCAAGGAGGGCATGTGGGCCAAGAGAGAGGTTAGGGTCGATGCGCTGCATGGCTGTAAGAATGCCATGTGGCGGAGTAGGCCATGTTGCGGAAAATCCCACAGGACGGGTTGTTACAATTATAAATTTGTTATTCGAGACCTACATTTCTAATGACATTTGAATATAATTATATACCCTTACAAATATTATTTTTATTGTGTATTTTATAATAATAAAGAGAATATATTTTTTGCTAGAGAAAAAGAAGACTACATATTGAACACCATCACATCATCTTGAAAATCATACATCTAAGCTCGTTTCTATATATCATATGTGGGGGAAAAGATATTATCATTCGTAAACCGGCAAAGTTTCAAAATCTCTTTATTTTGAAGCTTTATTTCATTATTTTGTTTGTGTTTTCTCCAACGTAATCATTTTTTATACATCTTTGCCTGAATACCAAATTATATGCCTCTGTTTGAGAAAGATCAAGTTCAAATATGGATTTAGTGGGAATGGAAACAAAGGTGAGTACTGTGGTGAGAATGGCTACAGAGGTGAGTACTGTTGGGACCATAATCTCCTCAATGTGGACCCTGTCTAGTTGCGCCGAAGACCCATCAACTTAGAATCTCAAGAAGGTTCATGTTACATAAAAGGGATGGCAAATATTTGCTAAAATATGCGATCTAATTCCCGAATTAATTTCTATAGTTAAAGGAGTTAAACTTGCCATTCAAGTCTCTAAATTGATTATGAGAGTTGTTATGTGAGTTAATTGTTGGAACCACTACCTAAAGAAGAGGACACTAGTTGTCAGCGGTACCATGAGAAGAGCGCGTAGTTTGGTACTATAGTGATTCATCTTGAGGAGATCAAGGGAACTGAAGAACAGTTCAAGCGCCAGACTGATCCAATTCAGAGAGCATCGCAAGGATTCGGGAAGAACATGAACTCTTTAAGGTCGAGAAATTGAGGTGGCATTGTACTCTATTTTTATTGGTTAAACTAATATGAGGGGAATAAGGAGGTTCACCTCTAGGGGTGAACCCATGAATTGTTCTACTTTGAGAGGAAAATTTATTCTGAAATAAACTAAAAGATCACAAGTGCAAATGGCATCTACAAATATGAGTAAATCATTAAAATCTGGTTCAAGCCTAAAAAGATCCATGAGCTTCGGCCCATAATAAAATCATCAAAAATTCAAGAATATGAGTTTAGAAGTTTTTAAATTTGATTTCAACATACATGTTTATTATTGGGTATTACAAGCTGTAATTTTGTGAACAAAATATATATATATGTTAATTCCAGCTATAATACTACTCACAATTAGGTGGTCAAATTCATTTTTAAAAAAGCAATTAAATTACATTTCTTTCCTGAATGACAATAGCTGGTCATAATTCCCCGGAAGGTATTATATCTAATAATTGTAATTTTATTTATTATTAACTCAAGTAAAATCAAATTTGTATTATATGTATATTACTCACCACACATTCTAGATGATACAAGGTGCCAACTACGCACATAAATACAAGGATTTATATAGAGATAAATACTTATTAGCTGTAACTTATTAGCTGTAACTTGGAATTAGTGATAAGAAACCGAATGAGGATAGACACTCTTCCGATGCTATATAAACAGTCTCTGTGCCAATAAACTAAACAAGCCTCACAAAAAAAAAACAAAAAAATGAGGAAACTGAAATTATCTTTGATAGCTGATGAGAGATCCAGAAAAACAACGTTCATGAAGAGAAAGAAAGGGATGATAAAGAAACTCCACGAGTTGACAACTCTTTGTGGTGTCCAAGCTTGTGGTGTAATCTACAGTCCATACCTACCGGCACCAGAGGTTTGGCCGTCAAAGGAAGGCGTAGAAGAGGTGGTCACGAAGTTCATGGAGATGCCGATGGCAGCGAAGACCAAAAAGATGATGAATCAAGATACTTATTTGCGGGAGCAGATTACAAAAACAAAAGAGCAAGTAGAAAAACTTGCTTCGGAGAATCGGGATTTAGAGGTTAAACAGTTTATGTTTGATTGTCTTGAAGGAAAGATGTTGGAGTATCGTTATGGTGCTAAGGACCTTCATGACTTGCATTGTTATATTAATTCTTATATTGAGAAGCTTACTCGAAGGATGGAAATTCTTGAAGAAAATGGTGAGTCTTCTTCTTTTCCTCCTCTTTCTGTTGGAGCTGCAGATCTAGATCCACTAGCTATTGCAGATTTTCCTGTTAATGTGAATGCATCTGCGATAAGTGTTGCTAGTGAGTTTTTTGATCATATTCAATACCAGAATATGAATATGTATCAAAATATGCAGGAACCGGTTCAAAATCTACAAGAACCGGTTCAATATCTGCAGGAACCAGTTCAATATCTGCAGGAACCAGTTCAGTATCTGCAGGAACCAGTTCAGTATCTGCAGGAACCAATTCAGTATATGCAGGAACCAGTTCAATATCCGCAGGAACCATTTCAATACATGCAGGAACCATTTCAATATCAGGCTTTTCATGATCGTAATGGTCATATTCAAGAAGAAGTTTACAACAATATGACTTGGAATCCTACTATGAATTTGGATTTGAGTCATAACTTGAATTTTAATTTAGATCTGAATTTAAATCAGTATCTGAATCAAGAAAATTCATTCAAGGATATGATGGTGGAACGAAATGTGGGATATGCTAGAATTCCTTTCATATATGGAAACCTCTCTAACTACCGTCAACAACCAACTGTTGATCTTGATATCACCAATCACATGCCTTTCATCACATCATCTACCACCTCTACTCTCGGTGCTTATGCTTCTTACAATAACAATTATATGTAATCAATGAAGCATATTTTCTAGTGAAGTATTCATTTATCTGAATTTGTGTATTTTATGTTTTTATTTCGAAATAAAAATTTTGAATGTTTCTTTTGTGCATGGTTTCAATTAATTGTTGTTGGCTAGTAATTTTACCTTAAAGTATTTATATTATTTTGACTATTAAAAATATATATATGTGCGTCATAGCGCATCAATTTAAATTTTATTTGAAGAAGTTTAGTTATTTGAAATAAAAATTAGTTGTTTTAAAAAAAAGGTTATTGGTATCAATTTCTCATTTAATTTCAAGCTTATATTTTCCCACGTAATATATGTGTAGAGGTAATTATTTGTATTAAAGCACCAAATAAAGAAAAATGGACATCTGTAAATAAATAAATAAAAAAATATTAAAATTGGCACTATTAAAGGCATGTTTTCTAAATATTATACAAGTGTCAATTCTTAACTAGCCTCCTTGATTGCTAACTAGAAAAAAAAAAGTAAAAAAAATAAAAGTAAATAAAAAGTTATCAAAAAGGAATGGA